TCTGAAACTGTGTTCTATGATAAGAAAAATGGGATCCTTCATGCATTGTTAACATAAAAGAAAAATTATACATTATATATAATTTTTTGCTTCTCTTTTACCTGCTAAAGTAAATATTTAAATCTTTGAATGATGAGAATACTGGGTGGTTTTCCTAAAGCAACTGAATTATTTCTTACTTTGTAACTCTGGCCACTGCCTGACATACTGCTACATAGAATCCACCAGAAAATCATTGGGGACTGGGGTGGGGTGAAAGGTTGGAGGTAGGAGAGCATGGAACCCACAAGTTTATCTAGCAGTGCGAACTCTGCAGCTGAAGGGAATTCCGGTGAGGTTGGCAGTTTGGGGGCCAGGCCACTGATCTCAAAAGAAACATGTGGCAGTAAGGCCAGCAAGCATCACAAACATAAGTCATTCTCTTTTCTGCATAAAACCCTTGTTTCCTGCTAGCCACTGTTTCGATCTTGTTTCTACCTCAGGCATTGTCTCCTTCCCTCTGTCTCCCCAACTCCTGGGATTGCCTGCCTGGTTCTCCATGTTGGTTCCCTTGTGTCAGTTGCTAACCTCCACCTGAACTTATGGGGTGTTCCCTTTCCCAAACCAGGGAAAGGTTAATCAGTGCCCAGGATCTCCCAGAGTTCCAGATTTTATTAGAAAGAATCCAGTTGACTAGTCAACATCTCTGCTTAAGGTGACTCTCTGAGACTTTAACTTGCAGAGAACATGTCGACCTCCATGGTTAGAGTTTCCTCATCCAGGAGTTGCCCATAAACTCTTATACTTTACACCAACGAATTCGAAGATTCAGCCCTTATCCCCCATCTCTGCCATTGTTATGAAATGGGTGTGTGCGGGGAGGGAGGAGAGGGGAAGAGGGTGGGATCTGTGATTTCATCTCTGCAGGGAACTCCCAGTTATGGAAACTCCCCACCATATGATGCAAATATGCAACTCTGTAACTTAGCATCTTAGAAAATTCTGCTAAAGCATCACCATCTCTGTGAAGCCTTTCTTGATCTCCTCCCCCACAAAAAAATTATCTTGTGTTTTATATGTATACTTTGTGTGTGTGTATGTATGGTGTGTAGTGTGTGTAGTAGTAGTAGTAGGGGTGGTACTCATAGTAGTAGTCGTAGTATAGTGGTGGTAGTAGTAGTAGCAGCAGCGGTGGTAGTGGTAGTAGTAGGGTAGTAGTAGTAATAGCAGTAGCGGTGGTTGTGGTGGTAGTAGTACCACTCCCAGTAGTAGTAGTAGTAGTAGTAGTTGTAGTAGTAATAGTAGTATATACAAGTTACATTTCCCTCCTACCCAAGGAGTGTAAGTCCTTGAAGACAGAAACTTTATTATAATTTGTCTTTGCTTTGTGACCCCAAACAAGTCACTTAACCACTCAGTCAGTGCTCTAGGTGATTCTCTAAGCCTGTAAGTTGAGAGGAAGGTGCTGACCTGCAGTGGTAGAGTCCCCAGGTGGAGGCTTCGCCGAGGTGGTGAAATCATGGTTCCAGCTCCTGTCCCTGTCCTAACTTGGACACATTCCCTGGCTTAATAAGTGTTTGTTCATTGATTGATGTATTAATTAAGATTTGCATAGGACATTTAGAGGCCGAATGGTTTGTCTCTGGTTGTACAGCCAGTCTTTGTCAGAGGTTAAATTTGAGTTCAGATACTTTTGACCCCCAAGGCCAGCTTCCTCTACACTATTCATAATAACACCTGACATTTGTATAGTTGTTTATAGTTTATGAAGGACTTTCCATGCTTTATCTCATCATTCAATCTTCACAACATCCATATGAGGTTGATGATGCAAACACCTCACTTTAGAAATAAGGAAACCGAGGTCCAGAGAGCTCAAAGGGCTTACAAACCAGGTTCCTGTAATTGGTCATTGTCAGAGCTGGGATCTGAATCCAGATCTTCAGACTCTTAAGTCCAGCATTCTTGAGGTCTTATCACCTCTTCTTTAGGCCAGCATTTTTAAAATACTTTATAGATATAAGAGATCTTAAATCTACCTTAAGTGTTATCCAGTAGCAAAGTCCATTGGGTTTTGTACAGTACAAGGAGCTATTTTTTTCCAAAGTTGATACCAACACTAAAAATCACAGACACTGAGGGCCCATAAACTGATTTTATCTCTACTCAGTTCACCCAATCGACAAGTATTCATTATGTGCCAGGTACTGGACTAAACACTGAAGATTTTTTTTAATGGCCCAATTCACTACCCTATAGACTTTGGATAAAATCCTATTTGAGAAATATCTGAAATATATGAGAAAATTTATATATATATTTGTATATATGTATGTATATAGAGAAAGACACAGAGGTAAAGATAGATAGCTAGGAGGTTCAGGAGATAGAGCCTTGGGCCTGTAGTCATGAAGACCTGAGTTCAACAGCCCCAGACATTTATTAGCTTTGTGACCCTGGCCAAGTCATTTAACCTCCCTCTGCTGCCTCTTTTATAAAATGGGTCTCATAATAGCACCCATCTCACAGAGTTGTTGTGAGGATTAAATGAGATAATGTTTGCAAAGGGCTAAGCATAGTGCCCCAGCACATAGTAGACACTTAATAAATACATATTGCCTTCCTTCCTTCTTTCTTTTAATTCACCTTACATTACAAATTCATGTCTCAGAGTAATCATCAAACTAAACTATGAAAACTGAATAACCTTAGAAACTTATTGTAAAATTGAATTGTTCTTCCTGGAAGTCTAATAGGAAGCCTCTTCATTGTCTGTTATCTTCTTTATGGGTCCTCTCTCTGTGTGCACAATTTTAACCACACAATTATTGCCTAAATTTACAGGATTTGCAAAGTGAAATCTTTTGGTTCCTATTTTCAGTAGAATTCAGCAGTTAAGTGTATCCAGGCCTGGATGCTTATGACTGTTCTTAACGAAACAGATTAAATTGAATGATAATTGGCTGTTCACAAATACTTATTGGAAGTAGTTGGTGTTATTGCTTGTGCTCCAACCCTTTAAGTTAGTTTAATTTTCCAATTGGTGTGCTTTTTATCAGAAGCATGTAGATAGCTTGTTATCATGTCGTTTTGTTTTATTGGTGTGCTTGTAATCAAGCAGCAGGCATTTGTCAGGTGCCTACTTTGTGCCAGGCATTGTGCTAAAGGATAAGAATATAAAGACAAAATGGAACAGTCCCTGCCCGCAGGGTGCTTACATTCAACATCTACACATGTAAATAATACAAAATATTGACTAAGTAATTATGAGGGAATTTGAATGGGGGAAGGGGAAACAGTAGCAGCTGGGATGGTCAGGAGAAGGCATATATAGGAGGTGGTGCTTGAATTGAGTTTCCAATGATTCTAGAGATTCTAAGAAACAGAAAGAAGAAAAGTTATAAATGTGAAGAATTTAAGAATTGTGGGATGAACATCAGATTCATAAGATTGTGAAGGGTCTTGACAGAGCATCTGGTGGTCTCACTAAAATAAGGATGTTGGATTTGGAACATTTGCCAGAAGACAAAATGGCCGTGTCCCTAAACTGTATCACCTCTGCAGTGTGGAAGAAGGATTAAATTTGGTTCATTTTGAAGATCAGGAGCAATTGGTAGAAAATTGAAAGAGGAAAAAATTAGGCTAAATGTCAGGAAAAATTTCCTAAAAATTAAAACTATCCAAAAAGGAGTATAGGTTGCCTTGGGAGATGATTAGGTATCCCTCACTGGGAGTCTTCAAGGAGAAGCCAGCTGACCATTTATCAGGTATTACAATGGGTAACGGAGGGGTAGGTATGAATTGGGCTTAGATAGCTATCAGTGTTCCCTCCAACTCTGAAACTCTGTGATTATTTACGTTCCTTAAGAATATAAACTCTTTGAAGTCATGGATCATTTTGCTTTTCCTTTGTATCCCCACAGAATGTGGCACAGAATAAGTACTTAATTAATGCTTGTTGATTGATTAATTAGTAAGAAGATAGTTCTAGGATTCAGCAGCAGTAGAAAATCTGCTGTCCTACATGGAAAAACACACACACATATACATTTATATGTGTGTATGCATACACACACATACACACATCCATATGGTTTAAACACAATGAAAGTTCAGCCATCCTTTATCTAACCAACAACCATTTAATCATAATCATAATAATAACATTGATATAAGTGCTTTAAGGTTTGCAAATTGCATTACAAATAGTATCTCATTTTCACAAAAACCCGGTGAGGTAAGTTCTATTATTATTCCCATTTTACAATGAGGCACAATGAGGCAGAGTTGGGTTAAATAAAATTGCCCAGGGTCACACAGTTAATAATTATCTGAGGCTAGATTTGAACTTGGGTCTTCCTGCATGTGAAATACCCAATAGGCATTAAGCCCGGCTCTAGATAGTGACACACAAACTCTGACAAAGTATGGTCCCCGTTCACAAGAATCTTACCATCAAGAAGTAGCTTGACATGTTCATGAACAGAATTGGACCAAATGAATTCTAAGGTCCCTTATGCTTCACATCTAGGACTTGATCTAACCTCTGTCAACCCCAGTTTTCCCATCAGGAAAATGAGAGTTTTAGTATCTGCTTCATAGGAAGGTTTTGAGGCTCAAATGTGAAAGTGTATATAAAGTGCTTCACAAGCATTAATATGAAAAGAAAAAAAAATACACATATTATGAGCATAGAAGTACTAGCTAGGTTTAGGGTTGGAGGCATTTAGGGTTAGGGTCTGGAAGGAGCGATAAGGGCTATGAGATCACATATATGACAGCATGAGCACTTTCCTATCTGCAACACAATGGCCTATGGGAAGCTACTGCCAGGTTCCCCACCCCGTCTCTAAACCATTCCCCTTGTGGGCATACACAGGCTTTTGCCCTTTGGAGCTAGCTATCTGCCTGGAACTTTCTTCCAACGCTGTATTTATTAGGAAAAGGTTAAAAAAGAGGAATGTTTTTTAAGCACTTAATAATTGCTGCATTCTAATGAGCTTCACTTTCTCCTTCTACAGTATGACTTTGTGGAGCTGCTGGATGGCAGCAGGTTAATAGCGAGAGAACAGCGCAACCTGCTTGAGTCAGAAAGAGCTGGTCGACAGACAAGATCTGTCAGTCTTCACGAGGCTGGTTTCATCCAGTATCTGGATTCCGGAATCTGGCATCTGGCTTTTTATAATGATGGGAAAAATGTAGAGCAGGTGTCTTTTAATACCATCGTTATAGGTAAGAACAGTCTTTGCAGAATTTCTGCAACCTAAGGCACAGGTTAGGGAATGGGGGAGGATATTTTAACAGATTTTTTTGTTGTTGTTAATTTCCACCATTTCAAATCAGGGGTAAGAGGTGAGAAATATTTTTTTTTTTTTAGTAATGAACATGTGAAAAATAAACTGTGATACTCACTTGCCAAGAAACAAGAGAAAGAAAAGGAAGCAGTTTACATTAAATGAACATTTTCAAATTTTAATTTAAAAAATTTTTGCTCTAATGTTTTGCCTGTTCTAATAACCCACTGCAAGTAGAGATTACTTTTTAAAAAGTTGTCGAACAGACCAGCCACTTCGGCGTGTACCCGAAACTGATCAGAGTTGGAGAATCTACTTGGCATTGTGGTGGGAGGTAGCCCATACAAGTTTGCTTTCTTTCTCCTTTCTTCAGAGTCTGTGGTCGAATGCCCCCGGAATTGCCATGGAAACGGAGAATGCGTTTCTGGGACATGCCATTGTTTTCCAGGATTTCTGGGCCCCGATTGTTCAAGAGGTATGTATTTAGTCGAATTCCTTTCTTAAGTAAATACAAATCTGCAGCAGGAATACAAGGAGTCCAGAATGTCACGTCACGGGAGGAAGAGAAACTGCCATGTGGCTTGTTCCAGAGATGTTTCTTTTCTTTCTCAAGCCTGATGAGAAAGATGGCTGTTAATTCTTCTGTCATGTTTTATTTTACAGCAGCCTGTCCGGTGTTGTGTAGCGGAAATGGGCAATATTCCAAAGGACGTTGTCTGTGCTTCAGCGGCTGGAAGGGTACCGAGTGTGATGTGCCCACCACCCAGTGCATTGACCCCCAGTGCGGGGGTCGTGGGATTTGTATTATGGGAACTTGTGTCTGCAACTCAGGATACAAAGGGGAAAACTGTGAAGAAGGTAAACACGTACATATTTACAGCTGTCCATTGTTATCCTCATAAAGAAATCTATTACACCAAAGACATCTTAGTTGCGGATTTATCCCTTTGGACCACCGCATCTTTTTTTGGGGGGGGGAGTTCTTTTTCTGTTCCAACCAGCTTTGAGATTTTGTTTTTTCTGCAATTTGTGAAGCACAGTGTTATAAAAGTCATTTTGATTACCATTCCTATAAAGCATTCAAAGCCGCTTTCTAAGACTATGAGTTAGAATGGAGGGGCCACTCTACGTTGGTAGAGGAGGTTCTTTGCTGGGAATCCCCTATACCAATGAAATTATGGGTCTGTATCCTCCAAAAAAAGAACTAAAAAACCATAGGGATCAAATATCACATTAATAATGAGATCATGAATTTAAAAATGAGAATTTTTCCCCTAACTAAAAAAAAGGAAACCAGACAGACAAAAGTCTTGATTTTTTTTCACATCTCAAAAGAATAACCCCTGTTTTATTCTGCCATCCCTCTTCTGCATGTGGCATTTTGGCATTTCTAACATCAAGGCTAATTTTGATATGTCACATGTGAAGCATCACATAATTTGTGAGTTCCAGAACTGTATATGGTGATGACATTCATGATGCCATAACACAGAACACTGTTGAATTTAAAAATATTTTTAAAAGGGAAAAGCACTATTTTCCTTCTTCAATCAAATTGATTTTATTGATCTGAACATACAAAGTAATGCAATTAAGCCTCTGGAATTAAATTTTCAGACCATTGACCCTACAAGTGTAAAGTTTTATTGAGTCAAATTGCTAAATTAAATCTCGTCATCTAAAGCACATTAAAGTGAATTAAGAAGGCTAGAGAGTATGCAACTCATTTATTTCTCAAACAGGTTGAGGGTCCTACCCAGCTGTCAGAACTCCATCTGAGTGGATTAGGTCAGTTGATAACTGATTGTTACAGAGAATCCAATACTTATTCCTTTCTGATTAGGCAGAAGAAAGAGCAAAAGTCTGAAACCTCAAGTGTATCTCAGTATAATTCAGGAAAATTACAAATCCTTGCAAGATTCTCAATTACCTAAATACCTTTGAGGCTGCTGCCTCTTATATGCGATGTCACTTGCTTTGCTATACAATTCTTCCAGAGGCTAACAAAGGCTTCTTCAGAGTTTGTCAACATATTTTGGTTGCTGGGCAATTGCCATCAGGACAACCAATATGTGACTGACTGTAAATGGAATTGAGCTCTTGTTCTGAACGGGGCCCCAGCCTATTTTTCCATCCTCTAGTTTATTATACATTCTTTCCTTTCCAGCACTCACTGATCCAATTATTCTGGACTCTCTCACTGGTCTCTCACACAGAACATATACATCCATTTCCTCTCTGTTTGCCTTGGCTCTGATCATCCCCCATGCCTGGAATGCATTCACCCCTCACCCTCACTTCTTAGAATCCCTGATTTCTTTCGAGACTCACCTTAAAGGCCACTCTCTTCATGAAGTCTTTCCTGCCCTCTACCCCACTCACCCCTCAGACTGCTAGGAGGCTTTCCTACAAAATCAATGCATATTTTGTATATACTTCTTACATGTACAGATTGACTCTCCCGGTAGAATGTAAGCTCCTTTAAGGCAGGGACTGTTTAGACTGTCTTTATGTCTTTAGAATCTGTTGGCACATAATAGGAGCTTTAAAAACTCTTGATGATACATGGATGGATGGATGTTCTTATACATTCTAGATTTATTTAGTCAAATTATTCTCATTTCTTTACAGCTGACTGTTTAGACCCTGGCTGCTCTAATCATGGGGTGTGTATCCATGGAGAATGTCATTGCAACCCAGGATGGGGTGGAAACAACTGTGAGATACTGAAGACCATGTGTCCGGACCAGTGCTCTGGGCACGGAACATACCTTCAAGAAAGCGGTACCTGTACTTGTGACCCAAACTGGACTGGCCCAGACTGCTCAAATGGTAAGGAGCATCAATTCAGCATCATCAGAGCACTTCATATTCTGATGTGTCTCCCTGTATGAATAAAGGACCTAGAATAGTTTAACATTTTGAACTCAAAAAAAACTTTTGGCAACTCTTTAAAAAATTATTTTTATGAAAATGAAATTATGTTACCTAGACATGTGGAAAGCTATATGAATAATTAGAAATAGAGTTAATTAGATATAGGGTAATTTTTAAGTCTCATTGTTGTGTACTGTTTTAGTGGAAACAGTACTGGCTTTAGAGCTGGAGTACGTGGGTGAGAATTACAGCTCTGTTCTGTGCTGTCTCTGTGAACTTGGACCAGGTGCTGAAAGTCTCTGAGCTTCAGTAAGTCATTTGAAATATTAAGAGATTGGACTAGAATACTTGTAAGGTTCCTTCCAGCGCTAAATCCATGATCCTGTGATCCCTCTGTGAGGAGACTTAGTATTAAATGGACCATTGGAAAAGATAGGTCTTTATTGGCAGAAGAACCCATTGCCTGCAGTCCATATCCAGGCCATTTCCCAATATGTGCTCAGTGCTACGTATAACATAGACATTTTATCATTGTTTGCTGAATTCGAATATGAGTCCCTGCTTCGGGGAGTTTCCAGGCTCCCTCCTCCTAAAACCTTCCCTGATTCATTTAACTGGAAGTCATCTCTCCCCTCTCAGAGTTTCGACCATTATCCCTCACTCTCTCCTTCACCTTCACCACATTCTCCGTTGTGTCAGTGACACGTCATGCCACCCATAGGGGACTTTAGAGCAGAGACTGTGGTTTTTTATCCTGTTCTAGTGTCTAACACAGAGCCTTGCTCGTGTTTTTTTATTGTTTTGTGGTTGTTGTTTGGATAGTTTTTAGTCACGTCCAACTCTTTGTGTCCACATTTGGGGTGTTCTTGGTAAAGATACCAGAGGGGTTCGCCGTTTCCTTCTCCAGCTCATTTTACAGAGAAGGAAACTGAGGCAAACAGGGTTAAATGACTTGCCCAGGGTCACACATCTGGTTAAGTTTCTGAGGCGAGATTTGAACTCATAAAAAGGAGTCTTCTGACTTCAGGCCTGGCACTCTAGCCACTGTACTACCTAACTGCCCCTGCACATAGTAGTTCCTAATAAATGTGTCTTGGATTGAATTGAACTGCTTTGTTGAAACAATGAGTGTGACCAGTCTTCCCTGGTAAAAAATGGGAGGCTTTGTTTAACTTGTGAAATTCAGCTACATTCTCTTTTTTCCTGACAGGCAAGTCATGATAATGGTAAACTAAAGAGACCTCAATTCAAACAAATAATTTCAGCTGTCAACAGAAGTGTAAACATGACATTAACTAATGACATATGTATAGAGAAATACCTCCCATCATGCCTCTGTATCCCATGCTTCCAGAAACAGGGATCTTTTAAAAATAATAATGGCGAGTGTATTTATGGTTGAAATGGCACTTCCTGTTTAGTTAATTAGCCAGTGTTTATTTATTTATTGCCTGCTAAGAGCCCAATACCATGGGAGGCCGTGTTTAATAGCGTACTATGACACTAAGACTTTTGGAACACCATGTATATGAGGAGTATAAGAACTACTTCCTACTCTCGATGGCTTTGCATTTTCCTTATTAAATTTACAATTACATTTTCCTTATTAATTTTCTCATGTGAGACTCAGAACATGAGAGTCACACATGAGAATAAAGACGCCAGCCAAGGACACACATATGGAGAGCTCTCTCCCATCCATGGGAGAAACAACATAAGTGATCAGTGTTTTGATTCATTAAGTGCAACAGGAGTTTAGAGGAGTCAGATAGCACTAGAAGACAAAATAATAAGGGAAGATTTCTTAGACAAGGTGGGGCATGAGACTTCAGATGATTTGTAGGATTTTGACAGGAGGGAAGGGCTTTCCAGACTCCTGAACAGCATGCAGAAAGATGCAGCTGTCGCACATAATGTAGAGATTTAATAGCGGCATGAATGGAGGTGAGTGAGAAGTGTGGTACAGTGGAAAGAACACTGATGCTGGAATCAGAAAACCTGGGTTCAAATCCCTCGTCTGACACTTAATTCTTTTGTGACCTTGGAGAAATCATTTAACTTCTGAGGCATCTAGGTGGTGGTGTGGACAGAGTGCTGGGCCTAGAGTCAAATTCAGCCTTAGACACTTACTGGCTGTGTGATCCTGGGCAAGTCACCTAACCTCTGTCTTCCTGGCTTTCCTCAAATGTAAAGTAGGATAATAACAGCAACTATCTCCCAGGGTTTTTGTGAGCACCAACTGAGATAATATTTGTAAAGTGCTTGGCACAATGGTTAGCATATGCAACCATAGGTGCTATGCAAATGCTTATTTCCTTCTCATCATCTGTAAAATGAAAGGACTGTACTAAATGGTTTCTGAGGTCCTTTCCAGATATACATGTATGATACTGTCATATGTTGTGAGCAACAACCTATCACACCCAAAAAAGTTACTATCTTAGCCTGACTCCTTTTATGAAACAAAATGTCTGCATTATACCTCTGTTTGCCTTCTCCCTGCCCCTTCCATGTTTTCCCTCACCTTGCTCCAGGTAGACCATCCTTCTGTATCACAAAAAGATGGTTTGGGAACCTTTTGCTCTTAAATTCAGTTAAAACTGCTGAACCCTCTGGCATGTTTTCTTCTGGTAACTCCCAGCTGGGTAAATCGTGGCCAGATTTCTGTTCACTCACTAAGATCTCAGTGGAAACCCTACTTCCTCCTTTTCTATGCTTATTTTCTCCCTCTAAGTCTAAATGACAGTTTTTTTTTTCTGGAGACCAATTCCTCTGCCCCTTATTATCCGTACAGAGGGCAAGGACACATTGCTTCATCTGGGATGTTGGAGTTGAGTAATGTGAAGAGATCAGCATGACTGGTGCGGAAAAATCCAGATTTGGGGGTAGAGGGGGTGGACTTGGGGAGAGAAGAATGGTCAGATAACATTTTCAATCAAGTGATAAGGTCAGAAAATATTCTGAGCCAGTAATAAGAGTATATGATGAAAAATTATACCACCACCACTATCACCCCCCACCCCCGGGCAGAAACTTGCAAAATTGAACAAATTGAGAATTTATTTTTTACCCAATTTAAAATATTTCACTGAGTTTTTTTTATACTTCTGATGTTCATACGCTGTGCATTTTAAATACATTCCTTGCTGCTGCAAACAATTATAGGCATTAGTATTTATTGATTACACAATATGGTAGGAAAAAACTGTTTTGCATAGTTCATTTGTCATAGGTGGAAAAAGCCTGTGCTTTGTAATTTTTGCTTTAATCTCCCCAAAAGATCCTACGTTTCACACAAATGGTTTAAGCAGTTCTCCACGAAAGTGACAACAGACCACAGTTCGCTAATGCCAGAATCCAAAGATCGCAAACAGTCCATTCAGCTTCTCATTAGTATAGGCTTCCCTTAGGAACAACTGCAATATGCTCCTGAGGCTGAAGGGGGATGACAGTTGTCACCGTATTAATATGGAGACAACACAGCACCCTATGCCCAGCCTTTCCCATGTCCCAGAGGAATTTGGGGGGGAAATTAGATGAGGTCAAGCTGTGTCTGTCTTTTTCAGACCATTCCCCATTTTCTCAGCAAGAGAATATTGTAACATTCTCCCTTCTCTCCAAGGCGGGAAGGGGAGAACAGGGTAGCCAATCTCTCTTCCACACATGGGTAGTTCCCTCCTAGGAGGGAAGAAAAAAAATAGATGTTGTCTAATTAACCCTCCCATTGATCTAATATTGCAGAGTTACTAGTGCTTCTGTTGTACAAATTGAGGCAAATGAAGCTTAATCATCTTACTGAGCACCTTGGTAGGTTCATGGGGATCTAGGGGAGCTGAGAGTATGGAGTGGAGAAAAAGGGGTTCCCTGGAGGCCTCAAGGGGTGATTCCACAGCAGCCTTTAGGAGCCTTGAGGAAACGGCCTCCAGTGGGTGTTGATCATTTGGTAGTTAAGAGACAAGTCTGGGAGTAGGTGAGCACAGGAAAGGGGAAAAGCAGACAATGAGTGTGTTTGTGGTTGTGGATTGAAGCATAACTGAAGAATGAGAACCGTGTTTGGCGAGTGAGCAAGGAAGGGTATACAAAGAAAGAAAACCTTCAGGGAGCTCACATTTTATTGGAGAAGACAGCATGCAAACAACTACATGCACACAAGATATATACCTATATACACACTATATTTATACACACCTATGGATATAGGTGTGTAAACATACTTGGGCATCTAAGTGGCACAGTGGATAGAGGGCTGAGCCTGGAGTCAGGAAGACCTAAGTTCAAATGTGGCCTCAGACACTTGCTAGCTGTGTGACCCTGGACAAGTCACTTAACCACTATCTGTCTCAATTTCCTCATCTGTAAAATGAGATGGAGAAGGAAAAAGCACACCACTCCAGTATCTTTGCCAAGAAGACGCCAGATGGGGTAATGAAGAATCAGACACGACTGAAAAAACTGAATAACGGCAACATATATATATCCATATGCACATACACACATCTATATACACATATACATATAACACACTTATGTGTGTGTATAAAATCATCCCTCCCAGGAGAGAACTACCCATGTAGGAAAGAGAGATTAGCCACCCTGTATTCCTCTTCCTGTCTTAGAGAGAAAGGTGAATGCTACAGTATTGTCTTTTATCTATCTATCTATCTATCTATCTATCTATCTATCTATCTATCTATTTATTTATTTATTTTGCTTTTTGTTAAGGGGATCAGGGTTAAGTGACTTGCCCAAGGTCACACAGCTAGTAAGTAATGTTGTCTTGCTAAGCAATTAGGGAGTGGCCTGAAAAAGCCAGATATAGCTTGACTTCATCTAATCTTTTCCCCAAATGTGTGTGTGTATGCATCTATATTTGTGTTTGTTTATAGATAGATATAATTGTAGGTAATAGCAGAGAGAAAGCTCTAGCAATTTTGGCTCTCCGTGTGGACTCCTTA